TCTCAGCACAGCTCTTATTAACGATAGCTTTACAAACTAATTTGGTAACAAAAGAATGCACACTCTACTGTGCCCTAAAAACATGACATTCTAAGTCCATTTTTCTCTTCCTCACTTGTTCTGACATGATCAGTGGGCACTGATAATAAAGAATAAAACATTATGATATGCTGACACACACAGCACTGGAAACACCGTCAAGTTGTACGGTGTCCTTGCCATTTGTAGTACATTGAACAGCAATGCCAAGTGAGGAGAATGCCACATATGGTCTCTGTCACAACTACAGAATCCTACAGTTACAATGCAAAAACAGCTACAGAAAATATGTAAACCAACGGGGAAAGGGGTCCATTAAAGTTTTATTTATAGATGCTAAAATGTGAATTTCATATAATTTTCATGTGTCATCAAATATTACTGATTCTTTTTCAACTAATAAAAATGTAAAAGCAAAAAAAAAAAGTAAAAGCCATTCTTAGCTTACAGGCCATACAAAGGCAGGCAGGCTGCATTTTGCTCTGAAAAGCTGGTATTCCACAACATACCATAATCCTCCCATCTCTACACTTTTGATCATATTGCTCCTGGTGTCTGGATCACCCTTTTGGCTTTTTTTTTTTTTTTTTTTTTTTACCCTTTTGGCTTCTCTGCATGAGGATTCCCCCACCCAGCCCACTGGTGTTAATCACCCTCCTTCCATGTTTCTACTACAAGGTATAAATACAGCCCAGAGAGTCCCTACCGCAGTTGATTTCAACTGCTTTGTATGTAGCCATCACTACACATTTCTGTACCTCTGCAAGAACAGGCTCATAGAAGGTATTCAAAATAGGCCTGTACAAGAAAAAGCAAAGGCATAAAGCGTCACAAGTGGTAGAAATCCGGTCCATAGCAGCTATATACTAATCCAACAAAACAGCTTTGCGCAGGGGCAGTATCGTAGCCAATGAGGTTTATCCGAGGCGGGATTATTGCTAATTGAAAACTAATCCAGCAAAACAGAGAAACAATTCCAATCTCTGATTTACATGCTTCTCCTGGCAATTAATAATCCAGTAACTTCTCTAGCTATCTTCCCCATAATGTCTGCCCAGCCTTGTTCCTCACCCTGAACACTAATTTTGAGATCAGACTCACACACAGACTAGAAAAACAACCAGGCTTGCTCTATCATTCCTGGGAATGTATACAGATTGCTAGAAATGTATTAAATTCCTTTTTCTGTTTCTTCCAAAAACTAAGGTATATTATGATGACTATTTGGCAAAAACTGAGTACAAACTAAGGATTTATCAAGAAAAATTATGGATGCATGTCACCAGACTATAAATGGGGAGGGGGAAAAAACTATAAGAGAATACATCCAATATGATTGATTTTATTATTTTTAATATGATTGATTTTAGAGGTTATCTAGACTTTTCTTTATTGAATTGTGATTACTTTTAGAGTCAAAAAAATTTTTATTGGGAAAGAAATCCACAATATTAATGACAATTTGACAGGGAATCTATACTGATGCAAAATTAAAGATGTTAGTAAGCCAAAAGAGTTCCTTTAAAGTTAAGTGAACTGGGATCCCTGGGTAGCGCAGCGGTTTGGCGCCTGCCTTTGGCCCAGGGTGCGGTCCTGGAGGCCCGGGATCGAATCCCACGTCAGGCTCCCGGTGCATGGAGCCTGCTTCTCCCTCTGCCTATGTCTCTGCCTCTCTCTCTCTCTCCCTGTGTGACTATCATAAATAAATAAAAATTAAAAAAAAAAAGAATATTAAAGTTAAGTGAGCTGTGGTAAATATTTTTTTTAAAGTTCATAACTATTAGAATGTCATCCAGTTTATTTATGATTTGTAAAACCTCATTTGGACACATATGCAGAATGGTTAGAGTTAACAGACAAATAAGCAATACAATGACGGCCTCTGGAAAAACAACAGAAGAGATGGTGCTGCAACATCAGATTTGTTAAAGATGTGATGAATCCCAATACACAAAGTGAACAGCAACATGTGAGCCCAACAAAAGGGGACAATAGGCAAGAGACTGAGCCAACTGAAGAAACTCAGATACCCTCTCACCCCCAACATGGAGATCATGACCCTGGAAGGCCGCGAGGAAGCACCTGCTCCTGGGGAGCCTGCTGCTTCTCCTGGCCAGTCAAATCACTGTTCACAAGCTGCACAAGGAAAATGTGATATGTCTGCATCTCTAATAAGTCACAAATATTCATCTTTATTACAGCTAGTCTCATAAAAACTGAATTTCATCTTTTTCAAGCAATGTATAAGCTTTACCATGGAAACAGAATACAAAATGAAAAAGGAAAAAAAAAAAGGTCTTGGTCTTGTTCTTCCTTTTTTTTTTTTTTTTTTAAAGCAAGCTCTAGGGCAGCCCCGGTGGCACAGCGGTTTAGCGCTGCCTGCAGCCCAGGGCATGATCCTGGAGACCCTGAATCGAGTCCACCGTCAGGCTCTCTGCATGGAGCCTGCTTCTCCCTCTGCCTGTGTCTCTGCCCCTCTCTCTCTCTCTCTCTCTCTCTCTCTCTCTGTCTCTATGAATAAATAAATAAAATCTTAAAAAAAAATAAAGTAAGCTCTATTCCTAATGTGGGGCTTGATCTCAGGACTCCAAGATCAAGAGTCATGCTGGGACACCTGGGTGGCTCAGCGGTTGAGCGCCTGCCTTCAGCTCAGGACATGATCCCAGAGCCCTGCGCGGAGCCTGCTTTTCCTCCCTCTGCCTGTCCCTGCCTCTCTCTGTGTCTCTCATGAATAAATAAATAAAATCTTAAAAAAAATAAAATAAAGTAACCTACTCATACATGGGATGCCTGGGCAGCCCAGCAGTTGAGTGCCTGCCTTCAGCTGGCACTGATCCTGGAGTCCCAGGATCGAGTCCCACATCAGGCTCCCTGCATGGAGCCTGCTTCTCTCTCTGACTCTATGTTTCTCACGAATAAATAAATAAATCTTTAAATACATACATATATATATATATATATATATATATATATATATATATATATATTTAACCTCATATATAACTCCTAGAAAAAAACTGAGCCACAGAAATCATAGATTATGGCTTTTCAAAATCATTTTTAAGGGGATCCCTATGTAGCTCAGCAGTTTAGCGCCTGCCTTTTGCCCAGGGCATGATCCTGGAGTCCTGGGATGGAGTCCCACATCAGGCTCCCTGGGTGAAGCCTGCTTCTCCCTCTATCTATGTCTCTGCCTCTCTCTCATGAATAAACTCTTAAAAATATATATATATATATTTATATATACTTTAAATATATATATACTTCTTACAATTTGCTGAAAATCTTTCCTAATTTTTGAAGAGCAAATACAAATTATTAGTTCTAGATTTTATATAAGGATATAAATACTGTTTTGATACCAAACATAACCCAGAAACCATACAACTGTGTAACAGTAACCACATCGGTGAGAGTTACTAGAAAATGGCTTTTAAGATTTTATTTATTTGAGAAAGAGAGGAGGGAGAGGAGTAGAGGGGGAGGGAGAGAGAGACTCATGCAAACTAGAAAAAGCAGACTCCGTGCTGAGGGTGGAGCCCAATGCTGGGCTTGATCTCATGATCCTGAGATCACAACCTGAGCTGAAACCAAGAGTCCAACACTCAACTGACTGAGCTACTAAGGCAATCTACTCCCTCTTAAAATTTTTATTTACAGAAAATGTCTTTTAAAAAACAATAAATAAATAAATAAATAAATAAATAAATATAAATAAAAATAAATAAAAAAATAAAAAACAAAACCAAATAAAGCTAAAATTTGTTAGCAAATATTTGAACAATTCTGAAAAAGCACCATAGAGCTATAGAGATTTGGTTCTCAAATTTCAATTGATCCTGACTTATGACATTCTCTCTGGCAAAAAAGCAAGCTCAGATAGTATTATTCATAGTATTATTCAGTATTCAGTATTACGCATTAAATAAAGTGTCTAATGGATTTGAGTGAGTCTGAACATTTAAGGCAGACTTTGATTCTATAACTGACTTTTAGCCAGAGCACATACAGTAGGATTTTACAGCCAGTATGAACCTCCTGGATTCAATAAAACTGTTCTAACACACAGAAACATACATAGGAACTCACAGTGTATAAGTCCTACAGGCACTTTCAGGTAGAGGAGCCCTGATGGGTAAATGATTGGAGCCCACTCTTTACTGGGCAAGGTCTGACTCCATCCCAGCCAGGAGAATTAACAAGAGCCAATGATACAATATTGGCAGCTAGTCCTACATGTCCCCCTGCTTCCTTTTTTCCAGGATCACACCCTTGCCCTAAGAATTCTGGAACTATTTAAACAGGAGAAAAAATTCATGGAAGGTTCACTCACATCACAATTGTAGAGAATATATGTGACAAGCACTGAAAACCCTGGTTCATTCTTCCCTAAATTAGGTAACACCTTGACTTGATTCAGTTTTCCTATAAACAGCTGGCTTGAAAAAAAAACCAATTTGAGGAATGTTTTAGTATGTAAGTTTGAACTGATGTGTTACTTTGTACATGGTTTTCTGTAAAACAGAGTCTTTGGCCCCATAAAAGCAGATCTGTTCCGTTTAGAACACAAATCCATCATGTAAGATACAGGTAGTTTGACAGAGACTACTAGAAGAATGGCAACTGAAGTAAAATTTGAATGGATACGGAGGAGAGGAATATGCTCTCTGCAGACAACACTGACCCACATGTGCCTTGGAACTGAAGAATCTGCTTTAGTACAGACGTAGCTAAGGAAGGCATCTGGTTAAAGCTGTTGAAGGAGGGCAGCAATGAAACTGAAAGCAGTAAGTGGGCCTTATTCAGATATTGGTAAGAGTGGTACTTACACTGTACTAAATACCATGCACTATTTTAAGCACTTTACAGATACTAACTCATTTAGACCTCATAACAACTCCACAGGGCAGGTACCATGGGTATCCTGAGGAAACTGACATACAAAGAGTAAAGTCACTTGCCTAAGGTCCCACAGCTAGTAACTGGCAGAGCTGGACTTCAAACTCAATCAGTCTGGCCCTGGAGTCAGTACTCTTAAACATCATGCTGACTGTTAACTATGCTTTTCTTAATTGAGCTAAAAAGAAAAACAAGAGGAATAGCAAATAAGCATAAGTGACTCTCTAAAAGCTGTTCAAGATATGTCAGGGAGTTTTTAACAGGCCATAATTACAACAACCACAAAATGAGTTACTAAAAATAAAAAACAGAAATGTTAACTTTAACATGCTTTACTGAAAATTTAATATTCATTATGAAATACTCTTTAGTTCAATTATAAAATTTAAGTTTTGGAGTTTTTTAAAATAAAAAATACAAGTATGGGCTTCTAATTTATGTTATGTTTGGATAGATTGATTTACACAAATCCTAATGTGGTGGGCTACCAAATACTTGGCACCTCTAAGCAGTAAATGTCAAAAATATAATGTTCTTACCAGAATTAATAAAAACTTACATATAAAAACTATATTTAAACTGTTAAGTCTCAAAACACCAGGCCAAAGGTTTTTCCCAACCTCTTCTTTCCTAAACATAACTACCTCTCCTCAGTGGGGGTAGTTTTGTGACAAGGCTAAAATTTCACAGGAAAGTGGGCACATCGGCCGTTCCCCTCCTCATTAGAAGTCAATTTGTCAAGACTTACTGTGGCCATATGTGTTTCAAATACTAGTAGGAAACAAACGAGTCGACTTAACACAAAAAGCAAACTGTTATATAAGGGATGAAACATTTCAATAAGCTCAGATATGACATAATGACACTATCACAGGCCTGAATATCTTCTTTATCTCCTAAATAAGTTGAGCCCCCAACAGGAAAAAGGTCACCTCACAGAGAACGCTATGAGATTTTTTAAGTCGCTAGACTCCTTTCCATCTTCTCTTCCTCATCAGCTCTTGATACTGCTGTCAAATTCTACACACTGGCAAAGAAAAAAGGGGTGAAAGTTGAGGGATTGTATAGAGAAAAAAAAATTTGTGATTACTTGTACTAAAATATTATAGCCATTGATATAATTTAAAATGCCTAAAACACATGGCCTGTCCGTAAAGAAATGCCAATGTGAACATTAAAACCACCATAAAATAACTGAGAATGGAATTCATTACATTTCAGCAGAACAGCAACCCTCTATCCCCCACCCACCCTAGGAAGCTCAATTTAATTTTACAAAGGCACTGGGAAAAAATGTGCTTGTTCCTTATAATGGCTGTCAATTCAGAGACTATTTGAAGTACCACTACCAACAACTAGGGCATCTCAAACTTGCTGAGTATTCAGTTCTTATCTCAAAAGCATCTCCACAGACCTAGAACATGGGGAAATTCACCTAGAATGGATACACAGGGACCAAGCCATTGAGAAGGCTAGAAAAGCGGCACCAATGAGCTTTTCACAAACTGTAGGCTTTCCCATAACCAAATGATGCTGCCAATCCCTGAAAGGCCACATGAGTCTGATAGACTGTTATACACTGATTTTTTTAATGCTTTTAAAAAAATAATCAAGATGTAATTTACACAACATAAAAATTTCACCATTTTAAAGTGTACGTCTCAGTGGTTCTTAGTATATTCACCATGTTGTAGAATTATCACCACTATCTAATTCTAGAACATTTCCATCACCCCAAAAAGAAACCCCATACCTATTATCATATGCACTGATTTTACCCATACTTTCTCCGCAGATATCTCTGTGGCCCATGCAGGTATTTTAAGATGGCTGGCTGAGGTGAATCTACACAGTATCTATATGGTAAGAAAACAAGAAAGCTACATTGTCCAGAAGGATACTGAATCCAAATTCTTGGCATTTTAGCAATTACACTAATGTAATTTTTTTATATTGGCTAAGAATGGCAGAGAAACTTACATTCAATATCCATCTTCACTTAACACATTAGTGTGCCCCAAATTCATCCAAGATGTTAAAAGAAGGGAAGACAATCTACTAGGATTAGCCATAACTTTCCATAGTTGCAATTTCAAAATATAGAAGATGCAAATGTGGGAAAACCTCCTTTAGTATCAAGCATAGCTGGATTAAAAAAAAAAAAAACAACAACAACAACAACAAAATGAAAAACTTACTTAATCATTAAGTAAATATTGCCCCATTTGGGAAAACAATCCCTACACCAGTCCAGTATTTAAAGTAATGTAACTTTTATCATTCTTGTGACCTAGACCCTCTCCTAACAAGAAAAATAACCTTTAAGCAAAGGTCTGGCAGGAAAGCCTGCAGATGTGTAGTGCTCAGGCTGCTGCAGGGCTCTCATTACCTAAGTGAGCTCATGGCTTCTAAGACACACAGGAAGGAGACCTCACCTTCAGGCATCAGGGTGTTGAAAGCGGGAGGAAGTAGGTCCACGAGGGTGTCTTGCTTTTGTGCACTTATCTGGGGTGCTATTTCCAGAGAAGGAGCTCCTTTATAGAGTGTGCCCAAGATGGATTTCTCTAAGTTGCTCTCAGAGTTGTCCAGCTGCCCTCACCAATAAGTCAGTCTTTGTAGGTTGATAGAAACCACCAGTCAAAGCAGATGCAAATGGATTGTGGGGAAGCCTTCTTTAGTATCTAACATAGCTGGATTAAAACAAAAAAACTTAACCATTAAGCAAATCTTCACTTTAATCATTACTTTCATAGCAAATATCAACTAGGTGCTATGCTTGACTCTACCTTTAGCATGGGCACTTAATTATTAATGGGGATTTTGTGGGCTTGACTGAAGACCACGAGCTCTTAATTTTTGTGATGTAAGAAATTAGTTCTACTTGATAAACAAGTAAACAAGATCTAGAAATATTTATTGGTAATTTAACTCATGCTTGTTGAGGTTGCTTAGCAACACTTCCAGTGACTTCTGTTGTGCAACAAGTTGTACTCTAGTAACGTATTTACAATTTTATTGTAATTTGCAATAATGATTTAAATACAGTTTCATTTCCTGAATTTTCCAAAACACAGTCAGATGCAATCAAGTAAAGTTCATGACATTTATACAATGTACAAATTAACAAACTTGCCTCCAAATAGTTGTCTATGGAAGAATTGCTACAATATCCCTGTTTAGAGAAGCCCGGGGAACAGACCTAAATTTTTAAAAATGACACTTGGCTAGATGAGGCTATAAAACATTTATTCTCTGTCTACCCATAAGAAATCACCCAGTGGCCAGAAAACTCCAAAAAACCTTCACTAAACTGGAATTCATTTTCCTTTACCTCAAGAGCATTAAGAAGTCTGAGAATCAACTGCAGGTGAAGGAATCCAAAAATGATCTGACGTCTTTAAGGCTTACATCCTCTTATAGGATCAAAATAATGAGGCAAAAACTAGGTTTTTTTGGTGACCTTTCAACTATATATTTTTAACAAAATAATTGTTATATAGTAAAAAGTCCAATCAGCTAAATTCGTACATACATTTTTGAATGTAATTACTCCAAAATTTCCTGTTCTTAAGTCTGTTTTTCTAAAACTCTTCTAATACGATATATAAGATGGACTTATAAGTGGATGGACCTACAAGTGGATTAATTTCCATCTTTGTCAAATAAAAGGACAAATTACCTAGCAAGATGTCAGGTGGTTCTTGTACTGGAGGAGGACTAATACATGCATATTACCATTTTACTACATGCTAATCAAATACTTGGAGCTGAACAACAGAGGAAATTCGAATACAGCCATTTTCTCAACAGTTGGGATTCCTCAGGTCTAGGACAAGTGTCTACTACACCAATTTGCTGAAAGGATTATTTCAAAGTTTTTCTTAAAGCAAGATTATTCATGAGTTTAGAAAAAAAAATTATCCTTCAAGCTATGTTATGAATAATCCTCTTGGTTTAAGAAAAAAAAAGAGCTCAAAAAAAAAAAAAAGAAAAAAAAGAGCTCAAACTCTAGGACTTTATTTGTGGGGCAAGAAGGCAAGCTTATGGAAAGGCAATTATTTGTTTTTGGTGGATTGTCTGCCATTATGATGAGTGCCATCCAATTTTAAAAATTCCTGTTTAAGTAATCTCTACAGCATACGTGGGGGGCTCAAACTCATAACCTCAAGATCAAGAGTCAGATGTTCTTCTGACTGAGCCAGCCAGGTGCCCCGAGTGGCACTCAATTTTAACAGATTTTTGGATTATGGCAAAGATTACTGCGTATCTCATAATCTCAAATAATATCAGGCCCCAAAAATACACAAAGTGTGATTTATGTACAAGTCTTAAAAAGTAAAAAAAAATAATAACAACAGGTAAAAAAATACAGACATTAAAAAAAGGGGGGGGTCTATATCTGTATTTCACAATGGGATCAATGCAAAATATAAAGCCATATTCAGACTGGTACAAATTCTGGAAATTCAGAAGGGAGAATTTTTAAAAATGCTAACCAGCTCAAATTTTAAAGTAAATATTAAAATCAAAATAAAAATATTCCTGTGGTCTAACCCCCAAGGGTAACAAATGGGTTCACCTTAAAAAAAAAAAAAAAAAAAAAAGTGCCATTAAGTATACAGGTGCCATCATCTGTATCTTCAAACTCCCTGTTCCTAAGAGCAGGGATGACAAGGGAATAAAGTTTTCCAAAAACATCACAGCTTCTGAACGCCCATAAATCTACCGAGGAAGATAACGGATGCCTATCTCTGATTTTTGGATAAAAACATAAACATATACCCCAATGAACACTTAACAGGAAATAAAAAGATGGGAACACCTACAACCTCCAATCACCCAATCAAGCTTGGGCATTCATTCCATCTACTTCTGTTGATTATGATTACTAAGCCACCTCCAGAGCCAAGACTGATTACTCTGCGCTTACCCCACAAGCAATGGAAAAAGACAGATTTTGAACAAATGAGCATCAACAGCACAAAAACTCAGATATTAACATTTACGTGGATGTCGACTTGCTTCATCTGTCAGTTCGAAATGGCAAGGAAACCCTGCTCATACAGATTCCACAGTCTACTCGATGACAGCACGACATACAGAGGTTGCTGACACATGAGCCAAAGTGTTCTACGTTATCTCACTGTGAAAAATAGGAGCTGAGCAACCAGAGGTTATAAACGAGTCCCCATTATGGGCAGCGGGCCGACTTCCCCGTCAAAACCGTACTGCTGCTTCACCACATCGTGCAACTGACGGGACTCCTCACAGTGTCCTCTGAGGTGAGATCATTTCACCAAAACCGAGGGAAGGATGGCAGAAAGACCTTCAGGTGAGAAAAGGACCCGCAAAGCAGTGGCCACAATAGGAGAGGAATAGTTAACACGAGTCAGGCTGTAGCCCAGAAAAAAAAAAAAAGCTCCAACTTCCTTCAACCAATGGCAGGGAATCTCACAAAGAAACCAATGCGCTTCCTAAAAGCCGTGTCCCCCAATCCCAGAACAGCTTCCCAACGGGGCTTACTTCGGTGAGTGACAACCGGGAGCTCCTCCTGTCTAGTTTTAGTTCCTTCTACTCCACCAGAGGAGGCTTCCTGCTCTCGGCTCACCGGGCGGCAGGACCGGGTGGCAGGCCTCAGGTCCTCCCGGGGCTCCCTCTAAACACGCACAGCACCTGGGAGCCCCAAGAGCGTGGGGCGTGGGGGCGGGGCGGGGACCAACACTGCTGAGGACGAGGGCCTGCCTCGGCAGCCTGCCGCCCCCGCTCAGGGCCCCAGCGCTAGGTGGTCCCTTAACGCGCCTCCGGACAACACGAGGCGGCGGCGCCGGGGACCCGCACTCCGACGCGCGCGGAGCCCCGGGGAGGGCGTTTCCGTCTACGGGACCCCCGCGGACCCCATCGCCCTCGGGGTCCCCGACTCAGGCCGGGTCCGCTGTCCCAGCAAGTTCCCAGCTGGAGGGGGCCTCCACCGACATACGGGGCTTCGGGGACACAAAAGGGCTCCCGGGCGCGGAGCGCGGGGCGCCTGACAGGACCCCGCGCCGCTCGTCACTCGCAGCGGCTCGAGGGCAGGCCCCCGAGGCACTCATCCCGGCTGTGCGCCGGGGCCGCTTATCGCCCCGCCAGGGCCTGACACTGTGGTTTTCACGGTCTGAGGAACAGTTAGGCCTCACAGGCCTGGCCCGAGATGTGCGCTCTCCGCGCGCTCGCGCGCCCGCCTTCCCCACTCAGCGGCCGGGCCCGGCTTTCCCGCCCCACGGCCCGGCCAGGGGTTGGTGGCAGTTGGGAGGCAGTTGGGACCGGCCCCAGCAGGTTGGAACCGGTCTGGGCCGGGCCGGAGGAGGAAGGGGGGAGGGAGAGGCCGCCTCGCGCTCTCCCTGCGCGCGTGACTCACGCTGGCCGCTGACGTCAGGCGTGCGCGCGCGGCGGGGGGGGGGCTCTACGTACGTGTAGTGCTGCGGTTTCTCGGGCTGTGCCTGCAGCACCTGAGCGGTAGCGGCCGGGGGCGCCGAGGAAGCTGCGGAGCCGCCGGGCCCGGGGCCCTTCGACATGGTCCTGTCTTCCTGCCTCTTCGCCGCTCCCCTTTTATTATTCAGTCTGCGCGGTCCGCGCCGAGGACCGAGTGCGCCTGCGCCGCGCCACGAGAACGTGAAGACCCCCCGCACGGCAGCAAGGGTTGCTGGGAGTTGTGGTCCTCGGTTCGGCTGGAATTTTACCGTCGGCAGAGGGTTGCTGCCAAAGGAATGGACCACAATACCCAGGGATCCTTGCAGTCGGTGTCCCGGATGCTGAGGTCCCGCCACGGCTTGTGGGGATTGCAGTCCCGCCGCGTTTCTTCTTCTTACCAGTGAAGTTTCCAGTTTCGTAGGGGAGCTTTCCTTGAAACTGGAGCCTCTGGAGTGGAAGAGGCCCAGAAACAGAGAGGCCCTAAGGACTTTTGTGAAACATTCCAAGTGTAATGTCACCACCAACAGTGCAGTAATTATCTCGCCACCAGACTTGGTAGAGCTTGGGTTGAGTTCTGATGCGGGTCCCAGCAGTGCTTCAGAATCTGCATTGTCCGTTCTTAGCTCTGGGCCTTCGTGCTGCGGGCACCTGCAGTCCATGCCTGCGGCCAGGCTAAGTGGGGAGGCATGGAGGAGTGTCCGCCTCCTAGAAGTCAGCTCGAGGAATCTTCGCTAAAGTAGAGCCACACGACACAACACTCTGTTCCCGCGTCTTTGCCGAGGCGCCCCATAAACCTTCACCAGCCCTGACACCCAGAGCTCCACGACTTGGGCCGCTTCCCAACTCGACACCTGGCCTGACCGACTTGTTTCCAGCACGTTAGGGGCCAAGGACGAACTTAATCTCTGTCTAGAATAGTCTCAGATACACTGGCAAGTCGCAGGGGTGTGGAGAAGCGTCGCATGGAGTCGAGAGGCAGAGCCTGGGTTTGGGTAAGGGGTGCAACTTAAAATCCAACGCAGTTGCCTGCTCTGGACGCCAGCTTTTCTGTGTTTTCCAACCCCGCTTCCCACTGATGGGGCCAAGTGCTTCATTCGGTGGTTTTGGTCCAATTATCCAACCCCCTCACACACACATACTCTCCGAGATCTAGGCGTTTGGTCCTGTGAGCTTTACAAAGTTCTTCATAAACATATGGATATTTGTCATTGAATTTCGTTTTCCATAATGAACCTATTTAAGTCCATTGTTTTTAAGATTGATTCGTATTTGATTAGATGGGTTGACTAATGATTGTCACGTTAATGAAAAACATTCCCAAACCTCAGGGGTGAAGGAAGGAGGAGTGAGTGGAAAATTGTTAGTGTTTAAGAATGACATTTTATTTAGTTCGTGTAACCTCACATCAGAAGCCAAGTTGTCAGCCTTACAAAGTTGAGAAACTGGTATTTCCTTAACAGGCCAAATCAATTGTTTAACCACTAGGGGCATGTGAAGATGAAACATTCCAAAAGGACAAATAAAAGTTGTAGTGTATTTGCTTTAACCCTGTTATTAAATCCAAGTAATTGATTTATATGTTATGCCTGAAATAACCGAGTGTAATTTGAATGAAGAAATACAGCTCCTAGCACTAGGCTTTGAATAAGTGTATACCATAAGCTTCAAGAAGGAGTGTGTACTGGTAAAATCGGAAGATGATATCATCCAAACTGTTTAATTTACAAAAGAAGAAACTGAAACTCAGAGAAGTAACTTGCAGGAGTTACTCAGCAAGCCCATGGCAGAACAGGAACTAGGACAGTAGTCTACATGCTGCATCACATTCTGCATTGTTTTGATTGTATAAACATTTTTAGTTCTTTCCCATTTCCTGGTTGCTTTTCCTCTCCTGCACCAACTCAGGAAAAAGAAAAACGGGCCTGACTGCCGAGTAGGAAGGACAAACTATTCCCATTAATTGCCCTTTAAGTCTAAATCTATACCTAGTTTCTCCTGGAGCATTTAGTTCTCCTCTAGTAATTAGCCAAACTGCAAAAAGGAAAACAAAACTGGAGTGTCTGTCCTCTGGAGGCTTGGGACAGACAGGTTTCCAGATCTTTTCGAAAATCGTTGGAACACAAAGGGGTTGTTAACTTAGGAACCCATTCCTTAAAAAAAAAAAAAAAAAAAAAAAAGGAACCCATTCCTTTTCCAGGCCATCTGGGCAGTCAAAAAATGTTAACAGGGTATTTTTCTGGTTACATCTCAGAACATATGAGAGCCTTTTGTGTGGGATCTAACCAGTGCCCTGATCCTTAGCTTTACACAGGTTCTGAGGACAGGGCAAGAGCCTCCATCTTGGTTTCTCAGCATCACATGAATGAAACAGAAAACTTAATTTTTCCCCTTCTGCAAACTTTGGGCAGAAAGCAGAAAGTAATTATCACATAAAAGTTTAAATTTTTTTTAAATTTTTATTTATTTTATGATAGTCACAGAGAGAGAGAGAGAGAGAGAGAGAGAGAGAGAGGCAGAGACATAGGCAGAGGGAGAAGCGGCTCCATGCACCGGGAGCCCGATGTGGGATTCGATCCCGGGTCTCCAGAATCGCGCCCTGGGCCAAAGGCAGGCGCCAAACCGCTGCGCCACCCAGGGATCCCACATAAAAGTTTAGATGTATGAAAAAAAAAAGTTTAGATGTCTGATAATTAAATACAAATTGTGCCCTGTTAAGGTTGAGAAGGCTGGGGGCAGCCCCAGTGGCGCAGCGGTTTGTCTCCGCCTGGAGCCCCGGGGGCGTGATCCTGGAGACCCCGGATCGAGTCCCACGTCGGGCTCCCTGCATGGGGCCTGCTTCTCCTCTGCCTGTGTCTCTGCCTTTCGCTCTCGCTCTGTGTCTCTCATGAATAAATAAAATAAAATCTTTAAAAAAAAAAAGGTTAAAAAAAAAAAGGTTGAGAGGGCTGAAATGAGAGGAATTTTGATGCTGGAGATAAAGTCAAAGACATTTTTGTCATAGCAGCTGTTTCATATGGTACATTTTCCCCCTCCCTATTGATACTGAGAGCAGCCCTTCGATGTTACAACTAAATTTCTGAGGAATTTGTATTTGTTCTTTTTTAAATTTTTATTTATGATAGTCACAGAGAGAGAGAGAGAGAGAGAGAGAGAGGCAGAGACACAGGCAGAGGGAGAAGCAGGCTCCATGCACCGGGAGCCCGACGTGGGATTCGATCCCGGGTCTCCAGGATCGCGCCCTGGGCCAAAGGCAAGCGCCAAACCGCTGCGCCACCCAGGGATCCCGGTATTTGTATTTGTATGTCATAATTATCTGAGTTAAAATCTACCCGTACATGGTTTTGCTACTTCTTAATTTTGATAATTTAAAATATTCAGTGGGGGAAGAAAATTCAGCAAACCCAGAGTAGGAACTACAGAGTAAAATACCCAAAGCTCTATTTCAATTTTCTGAGCTTTGTTTGGTTGGTCTTAAACTTAAGCCTGCTTTGGTATTTTATATACCTGTGTCATCAAGAGAGCTGAACATTACAATCCATCAAAGACATTTATTTAGGCAAAGGTAGGGATTACCATTTTTATATATTTGTCATGTTTCTTAGAAATAATACCTACTAGAATACATCATTAAATACAAGGGCTTGTATTTAATTTAGTTTTCTTTCGATTATTCTTTACGGACGTGGAAATGCTATCCTAGCACTATTTCCATTCTGGCTGTAATCATTTCATTCAGTTGAATTACATAATTTAAAAATATGTTGCTTAATAGGTTGTTTCAGCTATTGAAATCATAAAGTATTTTGTGATAGCCTAAGAACGTACAAAACAGTACTTACAAAATCATTTATTGACATTTTTTTCCTTGTAGCTAATATTTACTCCTACCTACACTAGCATACAAAAGAACTGATTTTTGGTTAAAATGTGTATGCTTGATATGTAAAATACGTGGTGGTGTAATATGATTTGATGAATTCAAATTCTCTTTTACACCATGTTCATAACCATAAAAATGTGAAAGTAAATAATCACATGGCACTCATTTTATTCTACATTGGAAAATATTTACAAGAATTTCCTTGAAGGAACCTCTCCTGCATTTTATCAGCGAGATGCGAATTTGGGTAGGCTCCTGCCCCTCCGGACCCTGAAGTCCTGATAGAGACCTATGTAATTCATTTGCATTGACTTTCTATTGTAGAGCTTTGGAACCAAGGGAAGGATCCAAACATAGCTTCATTTTATCCAATCAGAAGAGCCGCTTCGTGCTAATCGCTGATTCGTCCATTCCTCTTTGCATTCATCCAATCATCAGGCCACTTTAACAGCCAATCAGCGGCCTAGATGCCCACCAATCCGGGAGCGGGGCCGAAGCACGGCCTTTGTGTCGGGGATGTCAGCGCGTCGGCGAAAGCTCCCGCCAATAGAAAAAGTCGTTGGTGTATGCAAATGAGGTCCCTATGACGTAGAGACGCAGCGTGAAGCGTGGGTATAAAAACGGAGGCAAAGGGGGGGTTTGGAGCATAGAGCGGTTTGGTCGTTCGTTGGCGGGTCTTCTTTTCTTTGCTCGGCGCCTGCGGCTCTTCATTGGGCAGCAGCAGCGGCGCGGCAGTCGGAGGAGCGGTCTAAAACTTCAGCATTGGGTAAGCATTGGCGGGTCTGGTCGCGGTTCGAGGCCCCGCCTGCCGTTGATGCCGGGGGCCGCAGCCGTTGGAAGCGGAGTGCTGGCTGGTGCGGGCTGCTCGGGCCGCTGGCGTCGGGTGTGGGCCCCGGGAGGTTTTCCCTTGAGGCTTGGTTCCGGAACCGCGTCTCCACCTCCTTCCCTGTGGTGATTCAGAGGTCCCGACGTCGGGTTCCGGGCAAGCGGGGCCTCCGCCCGTCGAGGAGGGGAAGTGACTCCTCCCCGCGCCCCCCCTCCCGGGGGAGGCTGCTGCCGCTCCTCGCCGCCTGAGTCATTAGGGGAGGGGGAGGAGGCGGCGGCCCCGGGCCATCTGCCGCCGCGGAGAGGCGGGAGGGCAGGGGCGCCGAGCCCGTCTCCCCCCTCCGCCCCCGGGGGGCGAGCGCCGCGGCCCCGGAGTCACAGATGTCTTCCTTAGGTAAAAGAAAATGGCCCGAACCAAGCAGACTGCCCGTAAATCCACGGGTGGGAAAGCGCCCCGCAAACAGCTGGCCACTAAAGCCGCCCGGAAAAGCGCCCCTTCTACCGGCGGCGTGAAAAAACCTCATCGCTACAGGTAGGCGAGGCGGCAGGAAAACAATGACGGGGCGGCGCGCGGCCCGCGCGGGAGCGCGTCCTGGGATTGGCGCCGGGCGCTGTCGGTCCCCGGGTGTCCGCTCACACTCCCCTGCCCGCTCACTGCAGGCCTGGGACCGTAGCCCTTCGGGAGATCCGGCGTTACCAGAAGTCCACCGAGCTTCTGATCCGGAAGCTGCCTTTCCAGAGGTTGGTGAGGGAGATCGCCCAGGATTTCAAAACCGATCTGAGGTTTCAGAGCGCCGCCATTGGCGCGCTTCAGGTAAGGCGAGCGCGGCCGTTTAAGGTCGGAGGGCTCGTGCGTGGCTTCTCCTCCTCGAAGAGAGTTTAATAGTGTGGCTCTTGTCCTCAACAGGAGGCCAGTGAAGCGTACCTGGTGGGTTTATTTGAAGATACTAATCTGTGTGCCATCCACGCTAAGAGAGTCACCATCATGCCCAAAGACATCCAGTTGGCTCGCCGGATACGGGGAGAGAGAGCTTAAGTGAAGGCAGTTTTTATGGTGTTTTGTAGTAAATTCTGTAAAATACTTTGGTTTAATTTGTGACTTTTTTTGTAAGAAATTGTTTATAATATGTTGCATTTGTACTTAAGTCATTCCATCTTTCACTCAGGATGAATGCGAAAAGTGACTGTTCACAGACCTCAGTGATGTGAGCGCTGTTGCTCAGGAGTGACAAGTTGCTAATATGCAGAAGGGATGGGTGATATTTCTTGCTTCTCATGATGCATGTTTCTGTATGTTAATGACTTGTTGGGTAGCTATTAAGGTACTAGAATTGATAAATGTGTACAGGGTCCTTTTGCAATAAAACTGGTTATGACTTGATCCAAGTGTTTAACAATTGGGGCTGTTAAGTCTGACCATACATCACTGTGATAGAATGTGGGCTTTTTCAAGGGTGAAGATACAAGTCTTAACCACAGTGTAACTTACAGTTTCCTTAAAAAAAAAAAAAAAAAGTAAACCTGGCAGCTATAGAATACACTATGTGCATTTATAATAGCTATTTTATATATTGTAGTGTCAACATTTTTAAATTAAATGTTTTACATTCACATGTGGTGGGGAGTCTTGTCATTAAGGTGTGTGTAATTTAAAGTCCAGTTGGTTTTCTCCTAACTAGACTGCACTTGTTTTCATAATAGTAAAATGCTTTGCAAATTATACCTTGCATAAGTCCTCATTCTACCACATGTTAACTAATCCTCTAGCTGATTAATGCAAACACTAATGGGGGGATTTTATTTATAAGGGCTCTAGAATATAATACAAGTTATTCACACCAGCATCATCTGTTACTAATTCTAAACTAGTTAGTGCAGCTTTTCTTTGTGTTGTGGTTGGTCTCATAACTAGGTTGAGTTTTTCTCTACCAAGAGGGAAACAATGCCGAAGTTCTTTTCCTTGTGGAGTTTGTATTATAATAACCCTTAGAGTAAACTTGCTGTGGGGGAGGGGCACACAACTCCAGCTTTTTTTGAACCTCTGCGGGTTAACATGGTGTCGGGTTAGGTTACATCTGATACATGGTCCTGGGAAAACTCACTTTATAGAGATGGCCTTTCCAAGTGGTTTTAAAAAATACCCTTCTATCGAAGTCTTCTAGGTCAATTATGTATGTTGACTAAATTTACAAATAAACTTGTTTATTCACCTAAGTGTCAAAAACCTACATTGAATATACAAAGCTTGAATACATCCATCATTTAGATTCTTTGTATCTGGAGGTTTGAGCTTAGTTTATATCTGGTTTTGCTTGGTAGATGAACCATTTATACACAAAAATAGTTTATACAAGTTATTTTAACACAAGTCCTCAAGTACAGGACTCCTTGTTGGTCTAAGCTGCTTTTTTCAGTATGAAGCTAGTTTTCTTGACCAGAGATGGTCCATTGTATGCATAGTACCTAGATGTCAGCAAGACATGGGCACAAGAGCCATGGTTCTCAGATAAGCATTCTGTGTGTTTGAAGCTGATAGCTGTAGAAAGATAGTTGTGCCCTAATAAAGTAGCTGTTTTTTTTTTGTTTTGTTTTGTTTTTCAAAGTTTGGTTTCAAATTCAAGGGACTTAGGCAAGCTGGGATAGGCTTGATTTTTGGCAAATTATTGAGCTTTCATGGGCCTCAAGGGTGGAGTCGAATATATAATGTGAACTGGTTTCCTAGAAGATTCACCATAACCAGCTCTGGAACAGTGACTTCCCAGTTCTGATGATCTCAACGTAGTGCTTCTGAAGGACATTGTGATCTTCGACGTTGGAACGTGCTGTTGGAATACCTGGCAGTGTCAGTACAAGTAGACTTCACTATGGTGGTGATAGTTTATTGAGTTTACTAGCTGTGATAACCCAAATGGGGTGAAATTTGAATCTTCTCCCCCAGCACATCTTCCCTCCATCCTGATGTAGAGGTTTGTGGGTTTTATTGGGCAGCTGTGAATCTGCTGCTTTAAATAGTGCAGCTTGTGCTTCCACACTTTGAGCATACTTAACCCAGAAGGCAAAAATATCTTTTGGTTCTAGGAAGCTGCCCACACAGGATAACCCTGGGTTTAGGTGATGGAATAGGATTGTAAGGAGAAAAGCAAAAGCTGGAGCTGATGAAGGTATCCTGTGCCCTTGATGAGACAAAAATAAAGTTTTTGAAGTTGAGACTATTTGATCTTGTTAATGGTCTTCATTTGAGTTGATAACCTTTCTTTCACAAATAAAATTTCTGTGGGGAAATGCCTGGAAAGTTGCCTTCTGATTTTTGCTGGGGGTGGGGGAAGTGAATTCAGTAGTGACAGGACCCTTATTCTGAAAGGTGATAGGTGTCACAGTTTGCTCAGGATAGTGGCAGGTGATGCCTGTTGAACCTGTGTATTAGTGCATTTCTTGACTATCAGTGGACTTGACTTGGGCTCTGTTCGGTTACCAGGAGATTCTGAAGCAAGCCATTGCCCTTGTCCTGTGCCCTTCAGAAGGTAGTTGAAGGGCCAAGGTGGTTGTAAATTGTTGGCCATGAGCCAGGTCCACCTTCAGTGAGTGTGGCCACCATTGCTCTCCCTCCACATTTGTTTGTCCTGTCTCCCCTTTCACTCCCCCTTTCCCTTGCTTGGCAAGTTACACTTAAAGTAATCGTGGACCTGTGGCCCCATGCTGCTGGGTCGGTGCAGTATCTTGCTTCATCCCCAAACTGTTCAGTTCAGTGTGTAGACTGGATGATCTAAGCAACACATAGAAATTACATCCTATTTACAAAATTTAAGGTGGTATCAAAGGAACCTAGGGAGGCAAGCGCTTCAAACGGCGTATTTCCAGAGATCTGCCTTATATAGACTTTACTGGGCTCCATCACACCCCCAGAAAGAAGGAAGAGCAGGTCTGGGAGAGGCCTGCAAGGGCCACCCCATGCCCCTTGCCAGGCCTCCCCAACCCCTTAGGGGCCTCTGCTGCCTCCCAACTGATGTCTCAGTGTAGGGGAACGAGCTCTGAGCCCCCTAGCTGGACTGGAAATATATACTCTTTCCCACTCATTCATTTCCTCAGCCATTTTTCAGCTGTCTCTGAACAGTGGTCTCTCCAGGGTTCCCCCTTCTTGGCTCCTTGCAAGCACTGCTGCTTGCCTGGTGTCAGGCATTGGGCCTGGGGTCTGTGCAGCAGTTGGAAAGCAGGCCCTGCTGAATCACTTTCAGGTGGGGTAGTAGAGGGCAGACACAGGCCAGTTAGCTGTCTGCCATTGTGTTGGCAGGAAACAGGTTTGCCCTTCAGTTACTGAAGGATGGGGCCAGCCTATAAACAGCCCAGGGCCGGAGATCAGAGCCTCAGACCTATGGTCAGCCTAGCTGCTTCAGAGAAGGGCGAGGTGTACGGTTGTCACCACACCCATCTGCAGCTGTTGTCTCACTGGCGGTGCTGTGGTCCCCCAGGCATGAGAGTCTTGAGTCTCCACCCTGCACATCCGGTCCCCACCCTACTTCCCCATCCCTTGGGTTGGAAGCACTTCATAGTCACCTCACTGAGGCGATCACAGCCTATGTCCCTCAGTCACGCCCTGGGCAGGGATAGAAGAACACAGCTGAACTGGCTGGGCCTTGTCTGGGCCCCACATCCTCTTCCTTCCTTCAGCCCAGTGGTGGTCCCATCTGCCCCTGTGGTCCCATGGCTCAGGGATGTCCATCCAGCTGGGCATGGCTTTTGGCCAGGAACTTCAGCACAAACAGCTGGCCTTCCAGCTGCCTTCCTGAGGGCAGGGCTAGGGGAAGGAAGGAAGAGCCAACTGCCTGCCCAGGCTGCTAACCCAAATTCTACACCAGCCCCAGGGAGAAGGCTGAAAGTACCCTCTTGAGCCAGGTGGGCTGGCCTTTTGGCTCCCTGACCCCTTTGTCAGCACGTGTGGGGAATGAGCAAGGCTGTTGGTCGAGGTGGGTGCAGCTGGGACAGCTTTGAGTTTATATGTAGAGGGTTGTGCCGTGAGGCAGGGCCAGAGCCTGACGTCCCCTCCTGGAGGTGCCTGTTCGCAGGGGCTCTGCTAACTGCCCAGTAGCCCCTGGCAGTGAGGGGTCCCACCCACACACCACTGTTGTTCCAAGCAGACTCATGGGACTTCTCTGTCATGTGCCCCTGCCTGTTCTGGGGTCCTTACCTGAGCATGATGCCCAGCTTCTGCCAGGGGCCAGGATAGTCAGTCAGGCACACCTGGGAACAGCATTTCTTAGCCTTCTCCCCTGACCAGAGGACCCTCCTCACACACCATCACCCTTCCCCATGGAGGAAGCGAAGAGTTCTGCAGTCACTCCCTCTACCAAGGAGAGGGGGCTTTGGTAAGGCTGTGGTCCCTGGAGGGGTTGGTTATAAGGTCACATATGACTTGGAAAGGGTGCCAGGGTCTGGGTCTTCCCTCCAGCAGCTGCCAGCTCTTGTTCTGAAAGCTGCAGGTCTGGAATGCACACAGTAATGGAGGGTGGGCAGAAAAGGAGAAGCCCATCTCAGACCACCAATACTACCGACCAGAAGGGCTCCGGGAAGGCAGGCTGGTGGGCTTAGGGGGCTTTAGGTGGCCTTTTGTGGAGGGGTGTGTGAGGGACCATGCACTTCCCTGTGGAGGTGGTACCCGGGCTCCGTGAGCCCCCGCTTCCCTTCTGCCTTCTCTGTTGGACATACTGGGCCTCGGGACCTTTCCCCTAAGCTCCTCACTGCTTGGTACTGAGCCAAGAGCATCAGCAGAGGGAAAGGAGGGGGTTGGTTCCAAGGCCCAGGCACCATAGGCCTGAGGGTCTTGCTCCAGCCTGCAGCCCTCCCCCTCCCCAGCACCGTACCTTTGGGCAGTCTCAGTCCTCATGCCCACCCACTACAGCCTGGAGGCCTGGACCAGCTGCAGTGACCAGTGCGAGGTGCAAGAAGACATGACTGTGGCCCTACACTGTCCCCTGCATCCTGTGAGTCTGGATTTCTCCCTGGCCATTGGCATGGTGGTCATCAGCCTGACGGGCAGGAACTTTGGGGACATGGTGAGGGCACCAAATAAACACAATGCCTGAAGCTGGCTCCTCCAAGCAGGAGCATCTGAGGCCAGGGAGGAACAAGAAGCTCCTGGCACTCTGAAGCAAGGCCTGAGCCCTGCCTGCTTTTGGAGTCATGCCTGGCACACAGCAGAGGCTCCGGACTTGTCTGCTGAGCAACCTGGATGGCTCTGGCAGCCCCATAGCACAGCTGGCTGGATCTGCTCCTGGCATGGGTGGCAAAGAAGAATCAGCCCAATTCCCAAGAGCTTTGGTTACTGGCCTAGCTTCTGAATCAGGAGTGTTCCATGTAGAAATGGGCTGCTGTGGCTTCAGAGAGCAGCTACCCGCCCCCTCTCACCCAATCCCTTATTTGAATCTGAGCTTTCTGTCTTCACACCTTAGTATGCAGGAGCTGAAGCCGGTCAGGATGCTCCGGGGGACCAGGTGGTGACTGAGAGGGCAGGCTCAGGGGCAGCGAGGCTCAGGTTTGAGGCCCAGCTGTCCCATTTGGATGAGTTCCTTTACCCATCTGTGCCTCCCTATCTATAAAAAGGGGAATAAAAACAGTTACTACCTAATAGGCTTGCAAGGATTTATGAAATAATCTGTGCAAAGCCTGGTGACTAAAAGTATTTGACAACGGAAGTAAAGGGCACTGGCCAATCAGAACACAGCCTGGGAATAAACAACCAGCACTGCAGTACAGGCAACTGCAAGCTCCATATCAGTATTATCCGTATTACAGAAGCTATTATCATGAATATTACAGAAGGGCCAAGGGGGTCCAAATCAGGAGATAGGTCAACCCTCTGGGAAGAACCAGAAAAGCATCTCCCAGAATGAGCGAGAGGATGGGCCATCTGCAGAAAGCAAACGTTTTCGGAGAAGGTGTCTATAGATATTAGCATGGAAGATGTGCACCCAGGTCCCGTCGGGGAGCCAGGCTGTGATTGCAACAAGCAGTCAGAGCTACAGGGAGCCCAGAGACCTCAATTGCATGAAGAAAACCTGGGTCTAGCAGGGAGGATCCAAGGGCTAAGAACTGGACACAAGGATAGACAGACTCCAGTAGAGAAGAGTCACTTTTATTATTATTTTTTTTTATATTTTTATTTATTCATGAGAGACAGAGAGAGAAGGAAGCTCCATGCAGGGAGCCCGATGCCTGACTCG